GAGAGAGAGAGAGAGAGAGATTTAGTTCGCTTCTCCTTAAATGGTTAACATTTCTCATCTCATGACCGGTGCTTGTGATGTGCTCTTTACAGTTGTGACCAGAAAAACAACCAAGGCAAGCGAGTCCGATCCTAATGTGGGACCGAGTGTGAAACAGTGTGATTGCGGACGCCGATTATAATGACAGCCAATTTTTTACTCAAAGTTCATGTGTGTTTTAGTGGTCGGGTGAACGGGACTGTGAGGGAAGATGCGCACTTTGACCATGACCATTTCATCATTTATATCTTTATTTTCACTTTGCAACAGACAGCCAGTCGAAGCTCGTGGTTTATTTTAATGCTTTATCGACTTTAGTGAGAGGTAGCAGGCAGAGGAGTGGACCTGCCAGGGTCCACACATATATCAGCTTCAACGGCTATGTACCTGTTGCAGGTGCATACACCTTTCTGGTAGCTGCAGCTCCTAATCATTAACTGTCCTACCCTAATGAAGCCACGAACGCAACACAAACAGGTTACAGTATCAGAGCATTTCCCTGCAGCTTTCATGCAAATCCTTGCAGCTAGACAGTGGTGGATCGACCTCTCAGAGAACCCTCTCTTTTAAAAAAAATGCACTGCCACCTAACTGGGAGCTCTGTAGCTCTGTAGCTCTATAGATTTGTGGGTGGACAGTGAGCTAGTGTAGTGACAAGATCATATCTGCAAATTCAAACTGAAAGTTCATCAATTGTTATGGTTACATAGTTTGATGCAAATGTTACCATGATAGGATTCAAAGTAAAGATGCGTTTTTAGACTTTTGTGATAATAGGGGAACACAGTGTGACTTTTTAGGTCATTTATTGGCTTTTGTACTCATTTTGACTTCTTTCCTCTCCTGAAGGTGTTCCCTGTAAGTGTCGAACATGTCGGATAAGATGTCGAGCTTCCTACACATTGGGGACATCTGCTCCCTTTATGCAGAGGGATCCACCAATGGTTTCATCAGCACCCTGGGGTACGTTCATTTCACTGGCCAAACATTATGTGTGTGTGGGCCCACTTCACGCTCTGTTCCACTGCAAGCTGAGCAGTATTTGGAAGGAAGGAAGTCACACTAGTACTGGCAACTGTTTTTTTTTTTTTACAAAGTTCAATTTAGTGAGAAACAACTTTTGGAGCCATCAGAAAGAGCTTTTTTTTTTTGTAACGGTTTTTGGTATTTGTTTGCACATGTCGCATACTTCACTTCCCACCGCCAGTGACAGAATTAGGGATTAAGTAGTTTAAGGAGGAATAAATGGATGTAATTCTTGCCACATCCCACAGAACAAGGCTGTGGAAACAGTGGGAGGCCTTTCGAATGTGGTGCTCTGGCCATTACTGACCCCACCACCACTGATAGTGCTGGGAGAAAAGGAAATATAGGGGGCGGCACAGTTAATGATAAAGTGTTTGTGTGTTTGTGAGAGCGGGGGGCAGGAGCGAGAGTGGAGGGCAAAGTTAGAGGAAAAAAACTGTGAGGTGGTGCTGTGTACAGTACTCAACACTAATGGTAAAACTCTATTTAAAAGCCACTCATTCACCCACACGGTTTGCTGATATACTGTGTTGTTTTTCTCCATTAGTTCTACCTCATATGTGGAACACAATAGCAGAAGGAGGATGCACATTGATCACGTACTGTATCTGTAGGGATTATATTGGCCTTAAGATATCACTAAAATATCACTGATGCAATAGTGATTCACACTTGATGCGTTTTAACCTTTCCCCCTCTGTTCAATAAGAGAAAGCTTGCGTTTATGTTTTTGCTGGTAGAAACCACGAGGCAATAATAGGAAGATGCAGCATATTGTGTCTAGAATCAGTACTGCTGTTAGCACTGTAAGCTCACTGTCCAGGACCTCCCCTCCCTGCTCATGAAAAATGGAATGACCTACAGCAAAGACTGAGTCACTATAGAGACATTGTGGCCTTTCTCGAGTTCCAGCGCTTCCCACGTGCACACACACACACACACACAACCGCCACACACACACCGACACACACACACACACACACAAACATAAACATACAAGCGCACATTTTTACTAAACTGTCATGACAGTTTTGGCCGGGCGCCATCTTCTCCACGCACATCCACCAACTCAGCAGCCTCCTGCAGGTCATCTGCCCTCAGAGGAACGAAACCATCCTGAGAAGAGAGAAAACTCTCTGAGCGCTGTAACATCTCCAGCTGAGCAGCATTCCCACAGATCCTGTTTGGTAACTGGAGAGAGGGGTCTGTAGGCAAATTAAAGGTGAAACATTTTAAATATGCTGCTTTGTACGGTGCGCCTCCAGCAGGATCTTTCCTGTTTGTTTGAAGGTGTAACCTATTAAACTTGTGTTAGTGACCGGGATTATTATGAGCATCGTTCTCTCTCGCAGATGACAGTGTGCGCATACTGTAACATTTTATTAACACTAGCGGTTATTTTTTCCCCTACTTTTTATCTAAGTTTGCCGCCTTGTTCCTTGAGGTGTAGACTGGAGGAGTAGACAGGTCTGTTTGGACAAGTGTAGACATTCCCCGGGAAAAGGCCTGCAAATGGATGTGGGATTTGGCCAGTGTCCAGACAAGTGTTATTCTAAGTTAGTAAAAGCTAAATTTGTCACCACAAATTCCAGCCTGCCCACCAGGTCATCTAATCCAGAATGATTTCATTATTGTGTGGAGAAACACTAGTAGAGTTTTGCACATGCAGAATCTTTTGTTGGGAATACCCTGTTGAGGCCACTGCTGTGTTTAACCCAAACCAGTTTACACACAAACCCACAGGGATTATAGAGATGTGGTGGCATACCGTAGCTCAGATACCCGAGTGAAAAAGCATTCTTAGTACATCTCTATAAATGTTAACACCAATTTTGATAATAAATTACTTAGTTGATAAATCTATCAAGCAAATATGCCAAACCTTTGCTACTTCCAGCTTTTGAAATGCTGTGGGCATTTTGCAATAGTTTTTGACATTTGCTATATTAAATTATTAATAAAAAAAAACCTCAGAGGTGCCTAGGGCTACCACTCTTATTTTTATTATTATAATATTTTTATTTTCTTGGTTAATTGATCGTTTACTACAGACAGTAAAAATAAATGCCCATTGCAGTTTCCCAGGGTGCAAGGCAAGATATTCCAAGATATTCCATCAAAATCTTCACACTTGAGAATCTTAAACCACTGAATTTATGGCATTTGTGCTGAAAAATGACTTAAAAGATTATTCGATCACCAAAATTGTTGCATTCTGTGTTCTAGCAATTGATTAATCGTCTAACTGTTTCAGCTCAAGAATAAAAAACAAAATATCATAGCAGCCCTACTTTATTATAAAAGCCTGGCAGCTGACTGTGTCATTACTGATTGGTTGTATTCAGTCAGAAGACATTATAAACATAATGTAGCAGCAAAAATATTCACAATACGCTAAACAAAACACATCCAATTAATGATATTATTATGTGTCTATATCCACAGCTTGGTGGACGACCGCTGTGTCGTCCAGCCTGATGCAGGAGACCTCAACAACCCTCCGAAAAAGTTCAGAGGTAAGAGGCACAGAAAGTCGACTCCCCTCATCCTCCTGAGGCCTGACATCATTACACTAACTGCTGTCTGTTTATACTGTGGGCTCTGGGAGAGAGACGCTGCTGAATCTGTTATGCTGTGTTTCTTTGGTGACAGCCACAATATCTCTGCCCACCGGACTTCAAACAGGGCTGCCTTTGACAATGTTAATGGTGCGTGTGTGCGTGTGCGTAGCCGTGTGTGCTTGCTCGCACACCTTGGCTGTGGAGGTAGAGGCAGATGGAGAGAACCAGCTCTGATGTTGATTTGTTGGGGGGGGGACACAACAGACTTGAAAAGCTGCTTTTCAAACAAAAGGCCTTGAGATGCCTCTTTGGTTGAAGCTGCTATTATTAGCTCCCATACAGGAAGTAGAACTCATGACCCTCGGTTCTCAGGCTGGGGGTTTATTTCTCTGGGGAGAAGCCTGGCCTGACATTGTACAGAGAACATGAGTGTACTAAAGGCTTGTGTAGTATATCTTACAGCTTCTTGTACAGAATATGGAAACAGTTTTTGGTTACTGCTGAATAAATATTTGGTTGACTTGTTGCTTTGCAGTTTTTTATGGCTGTAGATCCGTCATATCTGTTGACCTTTGCTGTTAAGTGACTTGATTTTAGAGGTGGAGCATTCCACATACACGTGCGCCGCACATGGCATTTAGGATTCTTTCCTCTGTCTCAAGAGTATAAAGAAGATTGCGCCGTATTTAGAAAGTAAAAAGCTTTAATGTGAGCAGTGCCCACACAGCTCATCTTTTCAGTGGGTCTCTGGTGTCCTCGGACAGGTTATCTCCCCCTAGAGACAATCTCTGTCACCACCATAAACATGAACCGCAGACTGATATCTCCGCGCCTGCAGCAACATGAAAGACGAGTGTCTCGCTCTCCGTCTTTGCTGCTGTGTGTGTGTGTTTCAGTAACTGTCGAGTTTATTTCATAGACGTTGGAATAAGTGGCAAAGACACGCCAGCAGTGTCTACATTTGTTGATTTCCATCCAAACCATCATCACCGGTCCTTCAAGCATGAACATCCACAGTATTTTTTTGTTAACTGTGTTTGTATAGCATCCTTTGTAATTTAGCTGCATTCTGACAGCATGTGTTTATCTACTGTATGGGAATAGAAAGAGATAATGCAGTTTTGACTGATTTTAAGTCATGCATTATCCAAACTGCTTGTAATTTTATTATTAGCTCATTTACACAGGAAGATTAATCCCTTTGCCTCATTTAATTTTCCATCCTCCCGCACTCGGTTTTCCCTCCATTCATGTATAAAACTCATCACAAGGTGCACAGTGGGGGAAACATGGGGGAAATGAAATTGTAGCTAAAGCTGTATGTTTAAGATGTTTTTTGTTATTGTATATGTGTCTCTACATCACACTTGCACATAAGCTATAAGTGCTGTCAAAGTGGCGTTGGTTACTCCTTCACTGTCAGCTGGGCTTGACCGGAAGAGGCCTTCGTGTCACGGTGAGAGGCCTCTGGATGAGTTTCAGAAGGCAGAAAGGGGTGAAGATGGGTACTATTCAGTCTCACCATATTGAAAAGCACAGCTAGAAGAAGTTACAGTGAAGACAAACATTATCTGTAATGTGAGATTGACATTTTGGAGGGACAGGAGCCATTTGCCAGATAATAGCATAGCAACATAAAGGTCAGTTTACTCATCACAGGGAGTACTACACAGCTTGTGAACATTGTTGTGTAATGTCTGTGGCTCTGAAGGAGCTTTATCAAGTTTGACAAAATAATCCTTCAAGATGCCATTAGGGTTATCTCAGCCTGGACTTTATAACAGAAAGCCTGCAACACAAAGTGGAGTTTGAAAGACCTTTAACATGCAGAGACGGTATAATGAAAATGGTTGCGCAATGGGAAAATGTAGGATCTAGTATAGACCCATACGAAGGACTAAAAGTCAGGATATCTGCTGAACGTTATACAGTAGCTTCTGTGTTGACCATTCTTTTTTTATAAATCTGTCTCTCTCTAGTCCCCCGACTACATGAAAGTACAACACTAAACTGCTACAGTACCCATTTAAAAGTGGCAGTACAAATATGTTTACCTAATTTAAGTGACTTTAGTCCTTTTGCAAAGACACTGCCACTGCCAATTAAGATTTACAAGGAAAATACTGAACGTTTTTCTCAAGATTTTGTGCCTTTCATGTTTTTTTTAGTTTGCATACTGGCTTTTGTAAGTGCACTTGCAGTGTGGACACATACATACTAAAAACCTGCTTAGAGTCTGTGTGTATTATGGAATATTATAGACAGAATATCTGCTGTAAAAAAGGTCTGTCCTGTTGTGTGGATGCCTTCCTCTGGTGTAGAGACACACTGATCAGATTTGCATCACAACATCACAACCATTAATAATGAATTCAGGTTATGAATCCGTAAAATGTTTGAAGATGTAATGCTGCTGGACTGATGCTGAATTAAATAGTTGACTAATCCTTTTGCTGATGTTTATGTGCATGTGACAATCCTCAAGAAGTGTGAAACATTATTAAAACCAAACAAGAAACTGGGTTTTCCTTGTTTAAACAACCACAAATACAGTCTGGCTAAGTGTGCTTACATATCTTAATCTTTTTCATTTTGGTGGCGGGGGCTTCTAATTTGAGTCCTCTGGGTGTCCTTTGACAGAGAAAAAAACGCTTCTGTTCCTCCTCGGTTGGGAGGCTCCTCAGCTGTTTGACAGTTGTGCACGAGGCCAGGCTAGCCATGTCCACATGTAAGCCCTTATAGTGTCATTGCTGAGGTATGCTTAACATTTCCTCATAATGTAAACACAAGCACTCTCCACACAATCACACTCTCACTCATGTAGTCTGCATGGATACGTGGACACATGAGAAAGCAGTAGCCTCACTGTGTATTTCACCTGGACAGTATTTGAAATACCGTCACACACCCACCTACACGCACTCTGATAGTGCAGTGAGTTCAGCAGAGTACACGGAGCAGTAGTCAGCACATCCGAGGCAGAGAAAAACACTGTACCACTGCTTTGCATTATCTGTTAATCCTCCCTTGTATTATTCTGGATTTATACGTCATCACTCATTTTGAATGTCGGACCGATGTCTAGTTTGAAGTTGCTATGGCACCAGCTCGTTTTGGTGTGTGTTGAAGTAGCATTGTGAATTAAATACTGCATTGTTATAATGTCATCCACTTTTAATTTCCCTGTACTGAATCATTAAACCCTCTCCTCTGTGTCTGTTTGTGGTCATTGATAAAAACGACTTTCAGTAGTTTATTGTTGTAAAATGTTTAAAGCAGTTTTTTTTAATATGCATATCTAAGCTTTATGTAAACCAGTAGCATTTACATACAGTAGTGCACAATAACCCATTACATATATTTAGGCGGCTTCAGCCAGAGTGGGTTTTTAATTATCTCTGATCTGCACAACCAACTATCCCAGAAATTATATCTAGGTGAGGTGACCAACATTGAGGCTGTATGCACATAAAAGATATTTGATCATTACTGTCTGATTGTAAGAGGGTAAAAAAAGGTTGATATGGGCTGAGAAAATATGAAACCAAACACAAAGAAGAATGCATCAAAGCACCCCCAGGCTGTACAGAAACAATAAGAGCTCATTTTTGTGCTTGTTTGTTTACTGTCTGACATTTTCATTCAAAACCAGAAGCATGTGAAGGCAATTATAGTGGATAGTGTCTCGTTGTCCTCGCTTAACATGTCTGCTGTTCTCTTTTTTTTTTTGGTGTCTCATTTCATATTTCCCCCCTAATGTCTTTTACATGAAACCTTTAAACCTCATAAACCCCAACAAACTTTGGAGCATTAACTCCTTACCATCACCTGTCTGTTGTCAGCCCAAACCGCTGTTGCTGTCAGAGACACACTGCAGACTAGTTGGGTGGTTCATCTGAGATAAACACCAGAAGCAGTTCTGTCTTCAGTCCCTTCCTCTCCTAATAACCACATATATTGCTTTCCTGTCTATTGAGAGGGGAGAGGTCTTGCAGGAAAGGGAAGCTGGTGTCGGTAGATCCATTTATTGTCTTAGATGCACTACAAGTGATTAGTTGCTTCCTCTACAACATCTCCAACAGGATAAGAACCTTTGAGCGAATAGCAGTTTATACAAGCCAGATCATTAAGGATATTGTTGATTTAACACAGAATAGAAGACGTGTTATGCAATGTGTGTCTCTAGGTCCTTTTGCCAAACTGATGTTGTCTAATTACTGCAAAGAAGCGCAGCTCAGATCTCATACAAAGGAGGCCTCCCAGCTTTTGTTTAAACACTGATGACTGCTTTGTAATGTGGAAATGTCAGGGTCTTTTGTCTCACATGATGTGCTTTAGCTGTTTTTATGATAGGGTAGCTGACAGTGTAGAGACGATGAAGTGGAAATCTGAATTTGAGTGTCTGTACTTGTTCTGCGCTTAACCAATTGTGACCATTTAAACGGTGTACCATTGTGAGTTATGCATCCCTGTTTTCACACAGTAGATCTAATTGAACATGGTGTGTGTGTGTGTGTGTGTGTGTGTGTGTGTGTGTGTGCGCTGTTGCTCTTCTTACAGTATCAAAGTGTTGTGGCAGTTCTGCTCTCTGATAAAACTTCTTCAGAGGTAAACGATCTCTGCTGGCTTAACATCCTCTCAGTAGTTTTTATGGTTGCCATGGCTACAAGCATCTTCCCCTAGATCCTCTGGTGAAGTTTGTCAGTGAGAGTTTTCATCTTTAAAGTGCTGGTGTTAATGATCTGTTTGTCTGTGGTCCCACTCAAAGCAGTACTATATGACACCACTGATATACTAACACATCAATAGACAATGACTAATACATCATTTAAAGCTGTCATCCAGACATGTTTTACACAGAAATACTTGCTTGTAAGATTAATTTGTGGGGTTTTTTTCACTTTCAATTACCCAGTTAAAAATCTTTAAATGATATCTACAAACTAAAGCACCTGTTTCACATTAAAAGGTATGTGTATATGTATGTATGTATCCGCAATAAAAAAAAGAAGCTTGCCGTGTTTCTCGCCAAGATGTTCACACTTGCCATGTATGTGATTAGCACTTTGCTGCTATAGTTTTCACTTCTTCCTTCTCAATGCTTAAAGGCAAAGTCAGAATGCGACACCATCCTCTTCCACAATGCAGAGTCAGCTATTCTCTACTTAACAGTGTGTCATTATGAGACTCTTTAACTCTGCATTCATACAATCCACGTGTTGTAATATTTTGTAGGATTGCCCTTTTCAGCATACTGACCGCTAATGGATCAAAGTCCTGCCTAGTCATGCAAAACCTGCTGTACACCACTTTTACTATATGTGGGTGTAGAACAGGGTAGTTGACATAGTAATAATTGTAGCTGTTGGTGACAGCTTGACTCTCTAAAAAGCAAAAACATATAATATTCAAAATTGCACATTGTAGTTTTTGGAGTAAGATTTTTCTATGTATATAAGATACAACCTGTTAATCTGTGTGTATTATTGGTGCTGGAAGGTGGATTTTTCTTTACCTTCAGACATTATCAGACCAGCTGTTTCTCTCGTTTCCAATGCTAAGCTCACTGGCTGCTAGCTGTAGCCTTATATTTAACAGACAGACATAAGAGTATTATTGTTCTTCTTATCTAACTCTCTGCCAGAAAGCAAATAAGTGTATTTCACAAAATGTCAAACTTTTGCTTTAAAGAGATACTCCTGCACTTCAGTATTGCAATTCATAAGTTGAATGAGACACAGATGGAAGAAAAGACTGGTCAAAATCAAAGTAGCAGTGGAGTACATCAGTGGTTCCCAGCCTTGTAGAGTCGCAAACCCCAGAATAATCAGGTTGGTGTCCGTCTGTCCCAGTGTGTAACGCACGTACGTGAAACCATAAATTTTTTGAAATACCAGCACCTTCACAGTCAACCGTCAGCATGTCTGCTTTAGGCCTACAAGCACAGTAATGGATAGAAAAAAGTCTCATATTACTGAGGCATCTGGGCATGTTAACATGTATAAAAACAGTATAGCAGTACAGAGTACTATATATATATACTATAGCCTATAGTATGTAGTGTTTTTGAGTTCTTCTCCTTTGTGGTGAATGTCATTAAAGGGATGACATCGCTACTTCCTGTCTCTCATATTGCGATGCTTGCCACATTATGTTATTTTATTTTATTCTTCACAACCATTTGGCGACCCCTGGAAATGATCTCACAACGGCATTGGGGGGACCCCACCAGGCTGAGAACCACTGGACGAGATAACTTTGTTGTCGCTACACTGCTACACTACCCATAAACTAAATAGTGATGATATAATTTTTAGAAAGTTCCCTCCAGAGCCACAGAAGACACCATACAAGTGTTGTCACAGGCTGCGTAGCACTCCTGTTTACGGGTAAACTGATCTTCATGTGTAAAACCGGTGGATTGCCCCTTCATTTTTAGGCCTTTGTCTTGGAAGGTTTGTCTCAGGTCTGTAAAAAAAAAAATACTGTAAACACAGCTTTAAACAGAAATGCTCTAATGCCGTGTCATTTCAATAGTAGGCATTCAGAGATCTGCTTAAAAGGCTTGTGACTTGCCCTTAAGGACTTTTTTGATTGATGGATTTGAGGCTCAATTTGGTCTTGCCCCAAAAAACAAACAGCACTAGTCATGTTTATAGTTTTTCTATCTTGCATGCCTCAGGAGTACATGATTTAAGGTTAGCATGTGCCTGCAGGGCAGCTTGTATCAAAGACAGCCTTGTTTATGAGCTCAAATATATATTTTAGTGCTAAATGTTAACAGGGTGGAGGTTCCAGTAGTAAAAGACTGTTTTAAGTTGGGAGAATGTTAATGAATCAGTGAGTTTTCTGCCCTCTGGACCAGTCCCACCGCTTCTCCTGCCCGGTGACCCCAGCAGGAGTTCTCACCACATATTTCAGTGTTACTGAGTTGACAAGTTTTACCTCCCAGCTGACTATGATAAAAGGCAAACCTTCTGTCACACACTGCACTCACATTGCAGCAGTGATTGTGTGTTTAGAGTATGATAAAACACCGGTGTCATATTATAGCGTAGCTCACTCGTCAGACAGGAGCTTCCAGTATGCGTGCATTCATTTTGGTTTGGCTTCTGCACTTGCCAGTTTGATCCATTTCCGGTTACTGTTTCATTTACATGTGTGAACATTTGTGGGCCTCATATATTTTGGGAACATACAACAACTTCTTCTTCTTACCCTCTCTGTGCTCTCTCTCTCTGTTTCACATTCTTTCACTCTCTCCCTGTCTTCCTCATTTCTCTTTCACTTCCTTCTCTTTGTTGTTCTAGTCGTATTTTAGGTCAAACTAAAGTAAACTATATCTGATGGGGGGGCTTAGGAGGGAGGGGCCCGAGGAAGATTTGCGAGATAGAGACCATTAGCTCGGAGGGAGAGAAGTGTTGTGTGAAATTGTTAAAGGAATTCAGAAGGGAGAAGGAGGGATGATAGAATATCGAGAGGGGAAGATAGGGAGTCCCCACCCTCTTCTCTCTCCCTCTCTCATCCCACTCCCCTTCTCTTGGTTGGCCTTATTTGGTCATGTTACTGAGGCTATAGCAGGAGGAGAGAGAGAGGGAGAGAGAATGGGGGAAGGATGGACAGATTGTTCTTTTTTCTCTTCTTTTTTGACCTCAGAGTAGAGAGCCTCAGTCTGATGAGAGGTGAATTCAGAGGAAAGCCAGGACTCAGAGGGAGGAGTCGCTGATGTGCAGAAAGTTTTAACTCTTCAGGGAAAATGATCATAGTAGTTAGTATGTTCTGTAAGCTGCTAAACTAAACTTTCAGCCATTGTAAAAGTCCCCATGTGGCTTTGGTTGCAGCTTGATACAGAAGAGGAACTCTTCTGGGAAAGAAGAGGAACTCTGTTGCGCTAAAATTGCCCCCACATGCAAATCAAGGGACCGTTTGCTAGTTTCTACAGTATCTATGAAAATGAGCAGCACAATCAGAGTCTGCTGACGATAGCACCAACTTGTCGTTGCTGCGGTTACGAACTCACACTGACCACAACTTACTGCTGTGTCACATCATAACACACACACACACAC